TTGATATTACTACAAGTTATTTCTAAAGTACATATTATTCTTAGTTTGGTTGATGAGTGATAGTTGATATTATTTAAAGGAATTTTATCAATTCAGGACCCGAAAGATAGACGAATTATCAATCCGAGACCTGAAAGATGAAATACATCGATATAAGACCCGAATGATGAAAAACTGTCACTTTAGGACCTGAATGATTGAAAACTATCAATCTAGGACCTAAGTTGTCATAACTTTTATTATTATTTTTATTTTAAAAATTTTAAATATTATTTATTTTTATTAAACTAATAAACTTTTGTGAAGAAAAGTTTATAAAAATTAGTAATGAAATTTATAAAAAATTAAATAAATCAAAACCTATGAAATGTCAGGTCGTCCTAAATGGATAGTTTTCCGTCATTCGGGTCCTGTACCGATAAGTTTCATCTTTTGGGTCCTAAATGGATAATTAATCTATCTTTCGGGTCCTGAATTGATAAAATTCCTTATTTAAAGTTATTTTCCCTTTATTAAAAATGTTAATGCCATATAAGATTCAATTATCCACTTCAATTTTAAATTGCCTAAAAAAATTATATTAATACAATCAACAAACTATACACATTAAAAATGAAATGTAAATTTATTTGAAAATTAAATTGACTTGTACAAATACAGAAATATTTAAACAACAATAGAGAAGTGTTACACAAATCTCCTAGTCTTTGAAACTCTCGCTTTCTTGATTGGCAGTCTTTTCCTCCATGAACTGGCGGTGTGATGCTATGTTTAGTTCTTGAGTTCGTCAGTGGGTCTTCAGCCAATAGTGGAAACACTTGAGCGTCTCAAAAGATTGCATATTCAACCTCATTTTATAAGCAGTTAATACAAGATTTAAGTGAGATATATTGATGTGCATAAATGAATCTTATGTGGCATAACTTTTTAATAAATGACATACATTATCTTTAATCGGTAAATTATAACTCAGGAAAGCCATTTGCACTATATCACCGAGTTGGAGAATTTGGTTGTAGTTTTTTTTTAATCTAGGGGGTGATTTACACACTTTATTGCCGACTTGGTGGGGTGGGTTGGAGTTTTTTTTTAATATAGGTGGTGATTTGCACTGTCGGAGTTTAATTTAGGGCTGGGTTGATTTTTTTTTTTTAATTTTGGTGGTGATTTACACTATCAGTGTTACTTTGATGGTTGAATTGACATTTTCCCCTAAATTGTTTGTGAATATTTAAATACGGAGTATCTTATAAGATCCAAAAGGAGTGAAAATGAAAAATATGTAGTTACCTAACTTACCATTCAAACCAAGCATTCCAGCCCAGCTGGTTGCGAGGTTACTGTGCCTAGTGAGGGGTCTCGAGTTCGAATCCCGCTAGGCACATAAAGGTTTGAAACCCAATGGAGTGGGTTTCAGCCCTGATTACCCCAGGCTTCCCCCAGCCCCCCTCCCCCAGACCCCCTGGAGTTAAAAAAAAAACTAACTTACCACTCAATATTCCTCTTTTCAACACTTTCTTTTTTATTAGTATATCTTAATATTTGAAACATTATCCTTTTATAAAAAGTTTTATCTATCGAAATACTTAAAATATCACCGATTCTACTACATAATCAAATAGTTGGTATTACTAGAAGATATTTTAAAATATGTATTATTCTTGATTCATGAAAAATAATAGATATTATTTGAAGTTATTTTCTCTTATATTTTATATTTAATGATTTGGTATGGTAAACCAACATGATCGATACATGTATTATAAAACTCCATCCTCTAGTCTTAGAGATAATAAAGAGAATGTTTAAGAAAAAAGTTACCAACATGACTAGAATCTGAAAAGGTTATCATGACTAGTATTATATTAAAGAGAAATTTGTTATAGGAGTACAAAAAATTGAAATTACAAAAAAACTTCCATGTTTTTATTCACTGAGTAAGAGTATGTATTAGTGATAGCACAGTCCAAAGGACCCTTAAAGAATGATCAAGATTAGTCGGATCTTTCTTTAGCCACATCCTAATAACCTTTCAAAATTTATAGTAAAACAAAATTTATAGTAAAATTATATGTGTCAGTTTAAAGAGTAATCTCATTTAACTCCTTCCTCATTGAAGAAGTGAGTATTACACACATTAATTTATAGAGATTTTTCTTTATATTACTTCTTGATGTCAATATATAATCGTTTTTATCTTGATTTATCCTTTCATTTATTACATTCTATTTTGAGATCATGATATTTTACGATTTGAAACATAAAACCAATACGGAGTATAACTCAATCGAAATGCCACAAAAACAATCTTTTAGCTTGAATTGAACATTTTATTTTTTACATTATTTGTTATTCATTTAACATGCAACTATATTGCAAATGATAAGTTGAATATCATTTTGGGACTGTTTAATTAAACGAAGTATACTATATTTCAAATGCTTATCTGGAAAAGCCGAACCTCAATTCTCTATATGTGTGTGATGTATTTTGCTATTTAAATAAAAAAAAGTGTCTAAGTTCTCCACAATTATTGTTCCATAATGTGAGTAATTTTTATATATTTTTTTTTATTAACGATTGTGCTTTTAACGAAAATCAAAATGAACCCATAGCTTTTTGTATTGAATCTATTATTTTAATGTGCTTTTTGTATTGAATCTATTATTTGAGTATTTATCACGATATATTAACCCATAGTGATTTGATTTATTGTATTTATTTCAGGGCTATTTTTGCTCGAATCAAAGATGAAGTTGGTAAGGTCAACGAGGCATGTTGGGCCAGATATATTCCGAGTTAAAGACTTATTTGTGTTCAGATTCAGCTTCTTTATTTAACTCAGACAGTGACCTTTTATACGATATACATTTATCATATTTTTAATAACATTAAGGGGGGTGTATCATTTGGGACTTATTTAGACTTTTTAAGATTTGTGACAATATGAGATTTTAATAGACTTGTATGGATTTCTCAAGATTGTGTGGATTTTTAAGTAAGACATTTATGGACTATTTACATATTTGGGAAAAATGGTGAAGCTTCCTGCAAGGTATCCGATGGCTTCAAAAAAGCGTGAAGCTTCCTGCAAGATTCAGGCCATGCCCGCAACTTACCAATTTTCATCAAAGTGGAAGCTTTAGTTCTCAGAAGCTTTATTTCAGGGTGCTCAGAAGCTTTATTTCAGGGATTCATCGAGTTTTACAGACCAAACACATAAGTTCCTGGCGACCTTTTTCCGGCGGAGTTAGGGATTCGTTCGGCTGGGGAAGAAATCAATGCAAGGGCGAATTTATCTGGTGACCTTTTTTCAGCTACCTTCTAAGTGCTGCAACACAGAAGTTCCGACTCAGGACATACATAGGGGCGACCTTTCTCCTTCTTCGCGTCAATGGGTTTCAAATCTCACCTAAGGGGATGAGATTTGAAAATGGGTTTTGTGCTTGTATTCAGGATCGTCTAATGAATTTGGAGGTCTCGGTTCAAAATGTAAAATCGGGGCCCCACATTAATATAAAAAATTGAAAAAAAAAACCTCAATCAAAATATTTATACTCAAATCAATTGAATACTCATTAAAAGAGAACTAGAAGAGTAAAAGGACCAACGCGAAAAATGAGGTATCTATATTTTCCTTCTTTACTAGCTAATTGTTTTTACTCATTAGTATTAGTATACAATATTACTATATAATACTAATTAGTTTTAAAAAATATGGGACCCCTTAAATTCGGGGGCCCTGTTCTGGATAACCTATTGAACCCCCTAAAAAACGGCACTGCTTGTATTTGGGTGTGTAAAGTCGGATAAACTCCAAGTTGTGAAGTATAATCCATGTCTTAGTCCAACATGAATACACCTCGACATTTTGGGATTTATACAATGTCTTAAAATGTCTTAATTAAATACACTGAGATTTTGACAAATTCTAAAATGTTTTAAAATGTCTTGAACGAATACCCCTAAATGTTGAAGTTTGTGTGCAATGGCACATGACTTTTGGTGAATAAACTTTGAGAAAGAAATTAACGAGGCTTTGATGATACATGATGAAAATGCCGGTGAAAAATTTCTTATTTCTTCATTAACACCACCCGGCGTTAGACTCATATTCACTTTTTAACGTAAGTAGTTTCCATTAATGATTAGTTATGCAATGACCAATAATAAGATATATGAACGGTCATTGAAAAAGGTCGACATATTCTTCCGTTGGCATGTTTTTACGAATGAATCGTTGGACGTGGTTGTTTTGTGAGTAACAAGCCGTCAAGTCCATCATACGATAAAATCTTCTCGGTGTATATAAAGAAGTTTACAATAATTTGTGGTCTCCCTTTACAGTTTCATGAACATACACACAAAACTATTTGATCATATGATGATTTATATTTAACTTCAAGCATTAATTTTTAATTTATTATGAAATACAACTTATTTATTTATTTATTTATTTATTAATTTATTAATTTATTTATTAATTTATTTATTTATTAATTTATTTATTTATTTATTTATTTATTTATTTATTTATTTATTTATTTATTTATTTATTTATTTATTTATTTATTTATTTATTTATTTATTTATTTATTTATTTATTTATTTATTTATTTATTTATTTATTTATTTATTTATTTATTTATTTATTTATTTATTTATTTATTTATTTATTTATTTATTTATTTATTTATTTATTTATTTATTTAGTTATTTATTTATTTATTTATTTATTTATTTATTCAGTTAATTGATTCACTATCAGGTTTGTTTTCCATCTAATCTAAACTTTTATGTATGCACTTCACTCTGGTACACTGCATGAATAGAATAAGATATCAATATAGGCAATTTAAAAAAAAATGAAGTTACCCAAGAATAAAAAATGATTTTATATGAAAAAGATCCCCCAAAATTGTGATCTCATATTGCGTTGTACACATAAGAAAAGGAAATCGTGATGTGCTTGTACTGAGTTGTACTTTTAAAGAAGGCTCCAAAAATGAAATACTGAGATCACCCACCTCGGCCGTTGAATTGAGTGCACATTTTTATAATCATATCTCATCCCAAATCTGATTTTTATCACAATAAATAAACTAAGCTGCTGTTTCCATTCGATAAACAAGTGGTTCCTTCAAACTGGAAATCTCAAAATTAATACTGCCACCGAACTGGAATCTGTTGCCCAAATTTTTGATTCAGTTCATCCCGCATTCTCGCCCAAAAAGGCAATAAGTTGCTTCCAGAACCTCCAAGGTAAGTTGTAAGCACCGATTGGAGTAGATTTTCATAATTTATTTCTGCTGTTGGAAAAGTTCGGAAATTCAGACCCTTACTTGCGGTTTATCTTTTTGATTTTTTGGTTGGGTTTTTGAAGACTGCAAATACGCAGTTGGAATAGTAGCTGTATAAGAATCAGAGAGAAAGATTCAGATATATAAGAACAGAACCAATAAGGAACCGAAGACCAATGGGAGATGGAAACAACAGCAGTAGAGGGGGAGGAAGCGGCGCTAACAGGCCGGAGTGGCTGCAACAATACGATCTCTTAGGTAAAATCGGTGAAGGAACGTATGGACTGGTGTTTTTAGCGAAGCTCAAATCTAGCGGAAACAAACCCATCGCTATTAAGAAGTTCAAGCAGTCCAAGGACGGGGATGGTGTATCCCCCACTGCCATTCGCGAAATCATGGTTCCCTTGCCCCTCCCTTGTTATTTCTTCTAGTTATTTCGCCAATCTTTGCGTTTTTTGCATCACCATGTTCTAAAATTTCAAATTTTGCTGAAACTGCGCAAAGTTCTCATTATTTTTTAAATACAAAGGCTTGAAAGTTGTAAGTGGACACACAAGAAAGCTATCTAACTTGTATACCTTGCTTCTGAATACCATGAAAAAGGATTGATGTTTCACCTATGTCTTGGATGATCAGTTGCTGTTCTTGTGAAGTTCCTGGAGAAAGAATTCACTCTGTTCCTGCATACACCTATACAGAGTTTATTTTTGAAATCCTGTCACTTAACTTTTAGAAGTCCTTATTTCTGAGAAGAAGTTATGCTTGTGTTTTAATAATTCATTTTCTCTCTACTGACAAAAGAAAATTTATGCAGTTGCTCCGGGAGATATCCCATGAAAATGTTATAAAACTGGTGAATGTGCACATCAACTTTGTAGATATGTCATTATACCTAGCTTTTGACTATGCTGAGCATGATCTTTATGTAAGTTCTTGCTTTTTCCTTTTTGATTTGGTACTTGTATTTTTCTACTATTTGTAAGCTGCAGAATTGATGTTCGCGATATTTCATTTTCTGTTGCAAGTTACCCAATTAAGCACTATTCTGTATCACCTTGGCTACTGATGAATTTAAAAGTATCGCGGTTTGGCCATTCCTTTTGAAATAACAATCTTACTGCCGCTCTATAATGTACCAGAAGGGTAGATCAAATTTAGGTGGAATACTTCATTCCATTCCTTGTAGGCATTCAGTTTCCATTAAAGGTGTACTCCAATTAAAGTACTGTTTGGTTGAAAGTTTTCTTTTTCCCCATCATTTTTACTATTGAAGTAGAAAATACGATTCAGGAGGGACCGAGCGAGTAGTGGAAGTTGGAGTTGGGTGTGAATAATGGAGAGAACTCAAAGAACATAATCACAGTTTACTTTTATAGTACTCCCTCCGACCCAAATTAATACTCATACTCTTTTGGCACAAAATTTTAAAAAGTGGGAAAAACTTTCTCAATTACCTTTGTTTGAGATACCACTTTAAAAATTGAGTCACCCTAAAATTAAGGTTAAAATGGACATTTTATATCAAAAGTTTGCCAAGAATGGAAATCACACTATCAATTTGGAACACTACAAAATGGAAATATGAGACAATCAATTGGGACAGAGGGAGTAGCGTTTATGTATCCCGATTGGGGTGTTGACAGTCTCGAGGAACACGAACTATTATTTTTAAATAATGGCTAATTCACCTCACTTGAAAATAATTGGAGGTAATTCTGGCTATTGAGATTCGATATGAAGCTACAAAAATCTGGTTTTCATTAAGGTGTATTCCGCTTGAATTAAGTGGCTGTTTAGTTGAAAGTTTCCTTTTTTCCCATCATTTTTATTATCCAAATACAATAATACAATTTAGGAGGGACCGAGCAAATAGAGGAAGTTGGAGTTAGGTGTGAATAATGGAGTGTACCCAAAGAAAAGAATCACAATATTCTGTCTAAGTGGTTAGCAAAAATGGTACTCCCTCTGCCCCCTATTATTGTCTTAGTTCCTATTCACTCGGTTAACACAAATCACTCTTAATCTATTACTTAATGTATCAAATTTTTATCAAATTTGATTCTGGTTTATGCGACATTCTAAAGCTTTAAATGTAGTTTCTTAATATGTAATTTTTTTTCTAAAAATAATTTGAGTGTGGATAGGGGTCCGTTTGCTTTATCATCGGTCAAACATCGTAAACCGCAATGGGACAATAATAGGGGGACCGAGGTAGTAGTTTTTATGTAGCCCAATTGGTGTGCTCACAGTGTCAAGAAACATGAACCATTTTTATTTAATAATAATGGCTAAATCACCTCGCTTGAAAATAATTAGAGGTAACCGCGGGTAATTGGCTATTGAGATTTGAAGTGGAGCTACAAATGTCCGGCGTTCATTTAGGATGCACCCCGCTTGAATTAAATGGCTGCTTGTTTGAAAGTTTCCTTTTTTCATCATTTTTGTTTTTGAAGTATAAACATACAATTTAGGAGGGACTGAGCGAGTAGATGCGGTTGGAGTTGGGTGTGAGTAATGGAGAGAACTCAAAGAAAAGAATCACAATTTCCTGTTTTTTTTATTTTATTAATATAATGGCACAATCACCTAACTTGAAAATAATTAGAGGTAACTCTGGCTATTGAGATTTGAGGTGGAGCTACAAAAGTGAAATTAATGCTTGGTGAAATTGCTCTTGGCCTGAGTACTTCCTAGAGATTCTAGGAAATATTGGAGATTTTTCTTTCTTCCATTTCCAAGTTTGATGTTGCTGAAGGATTTCTACAACTATGTGATTTAATATATCCTTTGCATGAGCTTAGTATAATGCACAATGTTATTATTGAAAATGGAATCGAAAGTTATACCCTGTTTACTAAATTAATGGGTTATCTCTTTTCTAAATATTTTGTAAAATCACTACTTCAGGAAATAATCAGACATCATCGAGACAAGGTCAACCAGCCAATAAATACTTACACCGTTAAGTCCTTGTTGTGGCAGCTGCTTAACGGTTTGAACTATCTTCACAGGTAGTAAAATTTATCATGCTCCTATGTTAAGTTTATTCGTAATATCATACCTGTTATAGATATGACACTTTGATGCAGTAACTGGATCGTTCACAGAGATCTGAAGCCATCTAACATCCTGGTATGTTTGGGACTTTTGCATCTATTTGTTGTATCTATGTAACATTTTTTATTATATTCTCTCTATCTTTTATCGCTACCAATAAGTTCCTCTTAATGAACTTCAAACCCAGGTCATGGGAGAGGGGGAAGAGCAAGGAGTTTTAAAAATTGCTGATTTTGGTCTAGCAAGAATTTTCCAGGCTCCACTAAAGCCACTTTCCGAAAATGGGGTAGGACGAATTGGGTGATTTGTTAATTTTTTGGTGAATATGAGAATTGCTTATGCATTTAAAGAGAAATGCTTCTTGCTCTTTTACTGCAAGGATCCTAAGCGGAATGATTGATCGCAGGTTGTAGTGACAATTTGGTATCGCGCACCTGAGTTACTCCTGGGGGCAAAGCACTATACCAGTGCAGTTGGTATGATTAGTGATCCTTAAAATTAAATAAATAGAAGGAGATTTTGCCATTTTTTCCTCACAGGGAAAATTATTTACTGTTATGGATCATTAGACATGTGGGCTGTTGGCTGCATATTTGCTGAGCTTCTTACACTAAAGCCACTTTTTCAAGGGCAAGAAGTGAAGGTCCCACCTAATCCATTTCAGGTATGATTTTTTGTATTCCTTTTGTTTTTGTTAGTACGTAGTAGTATTTTGAGATACGAAACAATATACCCTTGAGCTATATGGCCTGCCATCTTTTTTTGGAACATTTAAACACAAACCTAGCAAAATTAGAAATATATACCATTGAACTATATATTAGAGAGCATATATATACACCTCAACTATTGTACATAAAGTTGTATAAGTTCTCTAATATATAGTTTAAGGGTATATCTGTTCCAATTGCACAATTTTTTGTTTAATTATTTAAGACTAAAGTTGGGGGGTATAGTTGTTCTATGACATGTTTGTTCCTTCTCTCCTACTTTTTTAACAAATTGTTTCTGTTGAATATGTTCTGTTTAACAAAAACTAATATGTTCTGTTTGGTTATTCTACTATTCTATATTGGCGTATCTTGAATAACTCTGACCTGGAATGTTGGTCGTGCAGCTTGACCAACTTGACAAGATATTTAGGGTTCTAGGTAAAAATGTTTTGAAATTCTTTCTCTATTGTTTTTCAGAAAAGTAGCTAATGCAACCTTGTACTACTTATGATATCAGGTCATCCCACACAGGAAAAGTGGCCAATACTTGTGAATCTTCCACACTGGCAATCTGACCAGCAACACATTCAAGCGCACAAATAGTAGGTGCCTTCATACTGAGTAGCCATATGGCCTTGATATACTTATATTAGTAACATTAACGCTTGGACTTCACCTGCTCTCATTGTTAATGTTTTTTTCTCTCTCTCTCTCTATTCAGTGACAACCCTGCACTTTACAGTGTTGTACACCTCTCTCCGAAAAATCCAGCATGTGATCTCCTCTCAAAAATGCTCGAGTATGTGTGTCCATCTTAATGCGATTTTAGTTTTATATCCCATGAAACTGTAATATTCTCCATCATATGTTGACATCTACGCACTTAAAAAAGAGCTTTGATGCCCTCATTGCATTTCATATTCGTTTCAGCCAGGGGGTTTTCTGTTGAAATATTATCAGTTCCGTGACAAACTAACGTGTGACTTCCATTACCTATCCCCTCCTAATGTTTCTTTGGAAGCTAACTTCCCTTTCAGTCTTTCATTGATCGATTTAGCACCTTGCACTGCTAGTCTGCTATTTAAAATATGCTTCCTGCTCCACTATGATTGTATCGTCTCAATCTTCTGAGTGGAACACTCAATACAATGTGAATTTCATATTGGCAGTCCATGTTATGCAATCCTCATCCTAACTTTTAAAAATACAAAGAAATCTTATATTTGATTTCCAATTTTTTTACTCCTGGAATTCTGGAAAAAATCACCATGACATTTATAAATATATATGAGTATCTTAAGGTCCATACTTGGTTCTTGCTTCAATTTGTTTTGTCTGTATTTTCTTTTTTGTATGTTCAAATGTTTTATGCTCAAGATGGATGTATTTTTTTATTATTATCTTTTTTCTAGTCTATTACTGCTGAATGAATATATGAGCTGGACCCTGATTGGTACCTATTACCTATAGTTTTTTTTACATCATCAAAAGTTACATCTACAATTGCTTTATACTGAGTATGCTGTAAACTTTGTTATTTTCACACAATCTCTATGCTTTATCAAGTTGGTGATGGAGTAGATATATTAAGATGTTCTTTATATAGGTGTAGAGTATATTGCTGTTGCAGTTAATATTAAACATGGACATGCATTTTTTTTTGTCATTGGCCATTGTAGATATGATCCACACAAGCGGATTACAGCGGCACAGGCTCTTGAACACGAGTATGGATGGACTCTTTCTCCCTCTGTTCTTTATAGTAGAAAAAGGGCTTATTTTATAGCTTCACCAGTTTTACATAATTTCATTTAGAATGCCCCCCCCCCCCCCCGTTCTTTTACTTCAGTAAACCCAAATGAAAACGACTTTTGAGTGCTATGAGAAAATGTAAGTGAGCTAAGAAAACTAGAACACTCTTGGTTTATTCTTCAGGCTCAAATATTGTATGTTATAATTTTATGGTGATGAATAAGCTGAAAACAATAACACAAAAAGTATAGTTATCTAACATAAAAGTGCGTTAGCTTTTTGTTCTGTTTTGTCTGTGCAAATCATTTGAAGGCATCTCTTTCTGTTAACGTATTTCTTGGTGAAATTTATGGAGAGTGCTGATAAATGAATCTGTTTGTTTGTATGAAGTGATTTTCTTCCAAACTCAACATGTTGAGAACATAATATAATGTTTAAATATAGAACCAACGCTCCAACAAGAGTGAAGTTTGTTCCCCTTGTGTTGTGTATTAATAAATGTTCTCTCGCTGGATTGCTTTGGCTGTCTAATATTTCACATTTATGTAATGAAATTTCAAAGTGCATGCTTTAGGTATTTGATTTCTCTTTTAATATTATGGCCCCTGTAGTCTTTTTAAGTATTCACTTTCATATCTTCTGGACTGTAGTTACTTTCGAGTGGAACCTCTACCAGGCCGCAAGTAAGTACTTCATTTTGTTGTCTTTTATATCTTATGGTTCTTTTTAAAATTCTTATAATTTTCCTGTACGATTTACCTTCTCCATATTTGTTTGTCCCATTTACCTAACTGATTGACATTCACAAAAGTGTGAAAGATTTTTACGTTATTACCAAAACTGAACCTGCCCCGCTTGCCTCAATTAATATTTAGAAAATAATAGCTCTAAGGTAATATGAGTGAGTAAAAAATTACTCGCACTATCCCAAAATAAAGTTTCTGATTTGAATCGGCACACTTATTAAGGAAATCTGAAACTTATTTTGGGAAGGACAACAAAGGAAAACAACAGCCTGATTTCGGGACAGAGGGAGTACAAGTATAGGGTAGTCGAACCTTCTTCAAATTGGCTTATGCGAACTACTTTTTCATGTATTAGCTGTTTATCTCTAGTAATAATCTATTATCTTTCTACCCCTCCTAGAAAGATATATGTTGTTATAAATGCTTATTTTACGGTGCCACTTAACTGTGATAGTGCACTTGTGCCCATGCAACCTGGAGAAAAAGTTGTCAACTATCCAATTCGTCCTGTGGACACAAATACGGAGTTTGAAGGAACAAGTAACATGCAACATCAGCAAGTGAGCACTTAAAGACTTTTTATTCACTCAATGATTTAAAATCAGCCAGATCATTGACTTCCATCATTTATTCAGATCTTTGGTTGTTTTTATTTCTGAAGTTCTCTAGCTTAGTCAAGTTGACAATCTTCTAAGGGACAAGGAGATCAAATTTCAAAACCATCATGGATATTGATTTTTTACCCCTCAAACTAAAAAGATCATGAGACAGTTACTAGTTGATTACCACTTGCTTTGAAAATATCATGAGACAGTAATCAGTTGAGAATTTGATTACATGAGATAGTTGCTTTAGTCACGTGCTATTGCAATCTTTATACTTTATATGGAAAATCAACATGTACATCATGAAACGTGATCGTAATGTTATCCTCCTAAATTCCTAATACACGGATTGATCATGTAAATAACTAAATATTGCTAACCACATCCACCTTGGAGCCAGGGATCCGCTGTTCCGGGTGGTGGTATACAAGGCCCTCATGTAAATACCACTAGATCTGTACCCCGTCCAATGCATGTGGTCAACATGCAACGAATGCAACAACAGCAGGGAATGCCCCCTTATAATCTTGCTTCTCAGGCCGGGATGGGTGGTACGATGAACCCCGGCAACATGCGAGGTGTTGCCGCACAGGCTCATCCACAACAGGTTTTTGTATTCAGCCAAGTATTTCTTCCAATTCCCTAATTTAAGTTGCACATCTTTTATGGATTTCTTCATTATACGATTTCAGATGAGAAGAAAGGACCAAGGAATGGGAATGACTGGATTCCCTCCCCAACAGAAAAGACGCTTCTGAGGTCATTTTTGTTTTTTATTTTTAATTCAAGAGCTTGCATTTTAGTATGTCATATTATCTTGTAATCAACTTTTCCCTTAATCTTTAGCTTAATCAAGTCTTCAAGATTATCCTTGATCAAATGTAGTGTACCATGTCATAAAAGCATACTTATTATACTCTTTCAATATCTGCACTATAGAACTTCGCAACATGATATTTTTTTCAGGCAGATACTCCATGCGATTCACTTTTTAACTGATGCCTGATGCATGTATATAACTGTCTGAGTTGTTACACTGCTCTTTTAAATGGTTTGACTAAAATGATGTGTTCTCTCTCTATGTGCATAGATACTATGGAGTATTCAAGTTTATGTTTTAGTTCAAACTGATGAAAGTTTGGGAAATGTAATAGATGATGGCTGATTATCCTAGTGTTGAAGGATTTGTCTCAAAATGGCCAAATATGAAAAAGCAGATTGATATAGAAGGTTTTAGTTTTGGATCACTCTCTAACTATGTATATACAGTTATGCACATGCAGGTAAATTATTGGGGTGTGATTACCTATGCAGTATGGTTGTGTTTCTTACTTTTATTACAACAGCAGGTGGAAGAAGAATATTACATTCTATTTGCCTGAATTTTGAACGAGAGCACTCATTTATATGCCCAAACTTCCAATGAAACGGGCGACTTAGAGCTTCAATTGCGTCACTGGAAATTCACATTCCGGTGTCGACGCTCTCGCACAATCTGGTCCCATGCAACCTATGCACTGCAGCAGAGTTGGTCGACTTCAACTGCAATTTTGGGATTCTGTCGATTGATTAGTTGACCAATTAGTTCCATCCATTATTAGGTGACATGTACTTTTTGTATATAAATACATCCCCCAGCAACACACCTCGTATTTGGATATGTATTGCACCTTGCATGGCTCAAGAAATGGATCCCAGTCTCGTAATGGAAGGCAACATCTTAGTCTCGTCGGTTTATGGTGTTTTTTATTTATTAATTAATAATAGTATTATTGTTTAATTTTTATAACTTGTTGGAACCATTCTTCCGTCTTTTTTATTGGGTATTGCTTCGCGCTATTACTGGACTCGGTTCGGGCCGGGCCCGGTTCGGGCCTTGAACCGGCCGGGCCTCGGTTCACCAATAGGAGGGCCCGGGCCCGAACCGGCGGTGACCGGTTCCGGGCCGGTTCCGGGCCGGTTCACCAGCCCCTATTTTTTTTTTTAAATTTTTGGCTTCTTTTATTTAACCCTCTACCCCTCCTCCTCAACCCCAAACCACCCCAAACCACCTCAAATGGCCCAAAATAACTAATCCAACCCAAAAATTAAAAAAATTTCAAAAAAAAAAATAAAAAAACAATTATTCCGGCCCGGACCGGGCCCGAACCGGCCGGGCCGGTTCACCAAATGGAGGGCCCGGGCCCGGAACCGGTATCCACCGGGCCGGTTCGACCCGAACCGCCGGTGGACCGGGCCACCGGGCCGGGCCGGTTCGCACAGTAACCGGGCCGGGCCGGTTCCGGTTCGGGCCGCCCGGCCCGAGTCCAGCCCTACTTCGCGCACCGATGTAATTGCTGTGCGCACCTCTCTTTGGCAGAAATGTCCTTGTTTACGTTTTTTTCTAGTAAAATGAATCCACTTACATATTTGATTATCGTAGCTTTCATCATTTTTTTGACTATAAGTTAAACATCATTAGTAAGTTAAACACTTGGAAAAATAGTGCGGGCCGAACAATGACACATTTCACATAATAAACTTATACAGGTCCATAGTGTTGGACCCGGGCCGGGTCGGCCGTCGGGCCCGGGCCGGGTCAAGGCCCGGTCGGGCCTCGGGTCCTATAACTGTAGGCCCGGGACCGGCCCGGTCAGTGACCGGTTCCGGTTCGGGCCGGGTCACCCGCCCGGGTCACGGGTCGGGCCACCCGCCGGGGCCGGGCCGGGCCGGGCCGGTAAATATTTTTTTTAATTAAATATATATTATAAAAATTGCTATGAAAAACAAAGTTCAAGTGCATTTATTTGAAATAATAACTACATTTGAGAATTGAGAAAAAAATAACAATACGAAATACATTTTGTAATGCACTAATGAATATCAATTGGGATTTCCGCCACCGTTGGTTGTTGTTTTCCCTTTGTCACAGGACTTCATATGTTTTATTGGCATCCCGTATCCGTATGAACGCCCCAAGCAACAGTCTTTTTTGCACCACCTGCAAGTTGCCCACCACAGTCCGGTCTTCGGGTCCTTCCACTTGTCAAAATTGTTTTGCATAAGGGAAGATGTACTTTCCATATTTAAAATGGTATATGTATAAGTAGGAATGTAGGATAATAAGAGAAGATGAAGATGGATAAGAGTTTGAGAAGAATTGGAGAAGAGGTGTAGAAAAATGTTAGAAAATAGATGTATTTATAGATGTTTTTGAACCCCACTCCCCACACCACCACCCCCGGGACCCCCCTGCCCCCCACCCATAGCCCCAACGGCTATATAGCCGTTTGGGAGCTTTGAATTTTTTTTTTTAATTATACACATTTTGTAAAATAAATTAATTCATTTAATGAATTAAGTAAAACTAAAACTATTTGTACTTAGAAAAGTGGTTTGATTTATAATTTACAAATGTTACAAAATAGGTGTATATGTATTTAAGCAAATTACATATTGTAAATGTATTTTTAATTTAAAAATCGGCTTTATATTTTAGAAAAATAATTATAAGTCGTTAGATTGTAACCAATTAATTAATTTGAGAAGTGCTACATATGAAAAAGTGAACACATATTTATTTGAAATATGAAGTACAAGTTTACAGATTAATTTGAAGTACAACTACAAATTTACAATTTTGAAATATGAAGTACAAGTTTACAATTTTGAAATATGAAGTACAAGTATAAATAAATTTGACAAGTGCTATAAAATACATTTTGTAATAAATTCTAAAATACTAATCAATCGGAATCTCCGGCATAGGTAGAGCCACCATCGGTTGTTGAGTCATCCATAAAATCTTTGGAGGGGGTGATGCTCAATTCTTGAGTTCTACGTGCGGCCTTCAACCAATCGTGGTAGCATATAAGCGTCTCAAGAGACTCCGCGCTCAATCTCGATCTAGATGCCGTTAGGACGTTGCCGGCCGAACTAAATTCTTGTTCCACAGCAACTGTTGAAACCGGCATTGATAGTACTTGCTTAGCCATCCGTGCTAAAATCGGGAACGTTCTTTCTTTTGACTTCCACCAGTCTAGAACGTCGAAGTCATCATTTTCTTCAAAATCAACTTCATATGTTAAATACAAAGTAATCTCATTCAATGCGCTTTGTTCAGTGACGTGAGTTGTTTTAGTTTTTTTCATAAGATTGCCAAATGCAGATTTAAAAATTGATTTTCCTTTAGATGAAGATGTTCGTGACGGGGGAGGGGGAGCGTTGCCATATTGTGCACGAAACTCATTAAATAAGGCATAAAATAAAGTACTAACCTCGTTGTATTCCGTTTTCGGATCTATGGGGTTATCCTCATACATTGGAAATTCACCGAAAAACGCAAGATAATAGAAGTTGAAACAATCTTCCAAATTAGCAAGTCTATAACGAGGATCGAGAATAAATGCAATACCATAAATATGGGGAATATGCGCATAATATTTTAAAAACTTTTCCTTCATATGATCACAAAAATAATGAACGAAAACGGCATTTTGAAATTCTTTAAAAGCATCGGCGAGATTAACAGCTTGTGGAATAAATTGGTTTGCAGTAGGTTTATAAACATGACTAAAAGTTTCAGTAGCATTAAAAAAAAATATCAAAACATTACAAATTTTTTCGCAAGTGTCGATCTCAGCCGCGTTTATTATATAGTTATCATGTTCTTTTAAAAAAGAAGGAAAATGTTCTTTATATCTAAGAACAACTTTAAGTAATTTATAAGTACTATTCCAACGAATACTCAAATCTTTAGGAAAAGCAACATATCGCACACCTCTTTCAGTCAAATAACTTTGCCATTTTAATCTAAGTTGACCATTACCCCAAATACGTCTAATCCCCCCCTTTATAACCTCCATGGAATCTCCTAACGCTTTTAAACCGTCTTGCACACATAAATTTATAACATGACATGCACAGCGTTGATGAAAAAATCTACCCATCAAAGAATTGGCACCACACAACTCACGCAATCTAGGTATAGCAGCAGTATTATTAGTAGCATTATCGAAACCAATAGCAAACACCTTATCAATCAAATTATACTCAATTAAAATACGCTCAATCAAAATATAAATATGTTCAGCGGTGTGACGATCATTAAATTCACGAAAAGCAAGAACACGTTTATGCATATTCCAATCCTCATCAATATAATGTGCAGTCAGACCCAAATAATATAAATGATGAAAATCATCCTCCCATATGTCAGAACAAATAGTAACACGCCCATCAAAGTTTGCAAAAAAATTTTGTAACCTTACCTTTTCCGCATTATAAAGCCTTATTATTTCTTTCTTAACAGTTTTGCGACTATAATTTCTAAATTGAGGATTTAAACTACCTTGTGCATAATCTCTTAAAGCAAGACTTTCAGAAAACAAATAAGGCAAATTTTCTTCACAAATTAAGTTAGCCATACCAGTCAAATTTTGTGCATCATTGTAGGAGAAATTACCAAAAGGTTGAGAATTCGCAAACCTCGATATTTGAGTTTGCTTCCCCGTTCCGCCGCCTAATTTTGCATACTCCACGGGGTGCTTTGCCTTAAGATGCCTTGCGGCGGATCCGTATCCGCCGGAGGTTCCCAAACTATAATTGTTGTTGCACCACTTGCAAGTTGCGTGCCAATAGCCGGTTTGTGGGTCCTTCCATTTATCAAAATTATTTTTCATTAGTTCAGACTTACTTTTTTTATTACCGGTGGCGGTTTGGGATGAGGCAGGCTCGTCGGCGTCGTGGCTGCCGGCACCCTCCTCCTCGGCCGTCTCCGGTTCCAATTCCTCCGCATCTTCATCCTCAAGCTCCTCTTCGTCAATGGTCGTCGGTATTTGTTGTTGTTGTAGAAAGCGGTTATTATGTCGGGCCAATTCTTGTTGGAGTTGTTCTTCGGACATCGCATCTCCATCTCGCCTTTGGTAACCCGTTTCAAAATCATCTCGGCTTTGAGATGAAGACCCGGCAAGTTCTTTACCTTTGCGGGATTTCTTCCTCCCAATCTCGTTTCTTCGATTGCGTTGGAGGTTACCCAAATCAACCGAATATCTACCACCTTCCATCTAAAAAATGTAACAAATATTAATTCACAACAAATATAATAATGGATACAAAACTAATGCAACCAATTAAAACTATTTTAATTAATACTTCAAACTAATTTTTTGCTAAGTAGAATTAATGTGTGTCTCTACAATTACAATTATAGCAACTTTTGAAGTAAATAACTAGTACAAGTAAAAATGTAACAACAATGCTAATTAAGTAGTTAACTAGTATAGTGACAAATGTAACAAACTAACAACTAGTTAAATAAAATGTGAAGTATTTTAACTAGTATAATGAAAAATGTAACAAGAATGGTAATGAACTAATTAACTAGTATAATGAAAAATGTAACAAGAATGGTAATGAACTAATTAACTAGTATAATGAAAAATGTAACAAGAATGGTAATGAACTAATTAACTAGTATAATGAAAAATGTAACAAGAATGTTAATTAACTAATTAACTAGTATAATAGTAGTTATAGTAAGTAATATATAATATAATGTTTATATTATATAATATATAAGTATACTACTATAAGATGAGTAATACACTTATATTTTATACTTTAATATATAAAATATATATTAAGTAGATGTAGAATGTATGTATTAAGTGGATATAATAATTGTATAAGAATTAAATATTAGAGTATAATGGAGAATTGGAGATTGGAAAATAAGTATATATAAAAAATATAAGTAGAGAAGTAGATATTATTATGTATTAAGTATATAGTAATAGACAATAGTTTATAAAGTATATTTAATACTTTATTATATAAGGTATATATTAAGTAGATAT